AGACTCCACAGCATTCATTAAAGTGCTACTAAATAAATCCTCCCCTTCGTTATTAGGAGGATGTCAGAGTGCCAGATCAGGCCAGTCAGAAAGAAAGACTCATGGGATGTCTAGGAAAACCTCTCAACCTTGCTTCAGATATCAGCAAAAGCACGCTAAGCACACACCAGTAGTTTCTGCTCTAAAGTTTAAAGAGGGGAGCACAGTGAGAATATTGTACACAGATCGCTGCTTGAGAAAGCAGATGGCAATTCTAAATACCATTTGCAGCATGACTCGTGGACATGGTCAGCCATTTTCCCTTTTGTGACAGGTGCTGGTAAAGCTCCTTGCAAGACCTGCTTTACTTTGAAGAGGCATACCTTTGGAGTCATACCTATCTTTTAAGAAATATGATAAATGGAATGCAAGTCCATTACTCTGAAGAGATATGCACGGAAAGCAAAGTTATAGAAGCTTTTTTGAATTTGTGCGTCTTCTTACTGAAAACAACAAAAAAGTTGCCTTTTGACTTCTTAAAAACAGGGATATGACTCCTGTGAGTTCTGTAAAAACAAATGCATGATGTAGCAATGAATTATCCAATACTTAAAGTATTCCTGAGTAAGATTGTATGTTGTAGCAGTTTCTTTAAAAAAATCCATCTGCTTCTATGGTATTATAAATGTGTGGTTTTCTTTTCCTGTCTCTAAGGAAGCCTTGCATTCTGATGCTCTGGACCTTAATGATTAAAAAAAGGGTTCCTTAACAGTGTCCAGAACACTAACCAGAGGCACTTTGTAGCAGTACTACGTGCCTGCAAGGGCATAGGACATCAACTTTATGTGAATTTTATTGTATTCTATTGTTTTATTGTATTTTAACTGTTGTACGTCGCCTTGAGCCAGTTTACCTGGCAAGGCGGGATATAAATTGAAAGTAATAAATAAATAAATAAACAAACTGTGATGTAGTGCTGAACTGCAGGTTACCGAATAGCACCAGTGGGATGATATAAAACCTCACACCAATTGGACACTAATAACATTTTTTTTGGTCAACAAATGGCTGCTGTGTTGAAACAGAGGAAATAAATGTTACCTGCATGTATGGTATATAGGAACAAAAGATATTGTCATCTTATAGTCCAATAGTGAAGCAAGCGAATCTTTAGATACTTAAATTTGGTGACTGTAACTATGAACAGGCAAGATGGATCTTTCTACAAACCTGAGGAGAACCCCAGGTTTGCAGACAAGTGTGAAATCTAAAAAAAAAACAACCTAAAACATTAGGAGCTTGAAAAATTCAAAAATGATAAAATGAGCACCTGTAGCTTTACGCAACAAATTCCCTCAGTGGCAGTTGCTAGGCAACAACAGCATTCCAGGCTGGGTTCGGTCAGTAAAAGGCAGGGGGAAGAGGTAGGATCCTTTCCAGGTCTGTTTTGGTCTTTGAGGGAGGACTCATTAGGGCGGGTCTGAGCTAGGGTTGCCAACTCCAGTTTGTGAAGTTCCTGGATATATTGTGGTGGTTTGGGGAGAAACGAGGCCTCAGCTGGATATAGTGCCATACAGTCCACCTTCCAAACCAGCCATTCACTCCAGGGGACAGTGTAATTCTGGGAGATCTCCAGGTCCCACCTTCAGATTGGCAACCCTAGGCCTGACAGCAACCTCTGTGTGACTTGATATTACCCAGCTTGCATGACTCAGCTAGGCGTGGCTGCTTGTTACTGTTCAACAGCAGCCACCCTGTGAAAGTCAGTGCGGTGTAGTGGTTAGAGCTTCAGGTGCAGGTTCAGATTAGAGACCCAGGTTTGGATCCTCATCTTGCTATGGAAGCTCACTGGGTGATTATGGACCAGTCATATACTTTCAGCCTAACCTTTGTTACAGAGTTGCTGTGAGGATAAAAAGGAGGAGAGGAGAATAATGTGAGCTGCTTTGGATCCCATTGTGGAGAAAAATGGGGTATAAATGAAGTAAATGAATAATAAATATATCTGAAGACAGGAGGCAAATAAAAGTTAGGTTGGTGAATGTCTGAGGAAAGAGGCAGGTAAAGGGGAGAGGATATGGGGGTTGCCAGAAGGAGGGAAAGGGGAAATAGTGTGGGGAGGGGGATACAGGGGAAAGTGAGCTCCCCCACAAGTCCTTGGGAGTTCCCTACCATGCAAGTGGGCCTGGCCCAGAGGCTGGCACCAAACTAACAGGCCATAGTTTTCCTAGGCAGAGGCTGCTGGGACAGGGGAGTGGGACAGCTTAATACAGAGGGCTGTTGGGTGGGAAGGAGATAGGGACAACTGCTGTCCAGATGACAGTGTTCTCCTGGAGAAACGGCTGTTTTGGAGGGTGGATTCTATGGCATTATACCCTGCTGAGGTCACTTCCCTCCCAAAGCTCTACCCCCAAATTTCCCAAGAAAGGTCAGGGAAAACCTGGGAGGTGCACAAATGCACCACAATGGGGTAGGGAAGCAAGAAAACAATCCCCTTCCCTACAGCACAGAATCCAGAGCATATAAACTATAAGAAAATGTTTTCTGTCTTGGGCTTCAGTCAGAATAAGTGGACAAGAATTGGTGAAAGAGACAAGAGAGAGCTGTTCTAGATCAGCACAACCCTGCTTAAATAGAAGACGCAGAACTCTGAATGACTTACTATCTTCCTCATGAAGCCTAATATTGCAGCCTACTACAATGTTTATTGTGCCCGTCTACTTGCACTGCATCAACTGTCATATGACTGCTTCCTGCTTTTGACTTTGCACAGTTCCCTGACCACTAATATCACTTTTGTTTTAAGTATTTAGGAAATCTTTATGGACTCTGCCCACTCTTCTACTCATGGGCAAACTATGGTACACCACACTGCTTATAACACTCTATACTGCAGGAAGAAATATCAATATGAAAGGTTCCTAGTTCTGGCAACCTCATGAACTCAGCCTTCTACCAGTATAAATAGCAATGCATATCCTACTTATTTAAACCAGGGACTGAACCTGGGGTCTCCAGCATGCAGAATAATACTCTGTCACTGAGCCATATCATCCCTTCCTGCAAGTGATCAACAATGCAATCCTGAGCAGAATGACCCCCTTCTAAATCTATGAAGTTAATCTGTTTAAAAGGCTCTCGCCCTGGTTAAGATTATTCTACTAATCTCTAGATCCCAATGGTAACAGTTACACTGTTACACATATTCCCTAGGTATATAAATAGTACTGAAACATACACAGAACTAAGAAGACTCCTGAAAGTACAATGATGGAGAAAGCTAATGGTGGACGATCAGGGGGGTTTCTGTCCTTTCTGACTGCTCCATGAACAGTAGCTGGAGGCCACAATTAATCATGATGACTATTTGAGCATACATTCCAGAACATGTTACTGCTGTGTTCCCATCTACCATATAGCTTATCTAGACCAGTTGCCAAAAGAATTCCTATAGGAATGGGCAGAGTAGTCATTGCCTTGCATTCTCCTCCATCGCTTACTTTGCCCAAAAGAAAATGCAATACCTTACTGACAGCAGTTTCATTGCCTATGACATAGGCTACCAACATTGTGCTGGGTACCAACCTAGTTAACTAGCATGATCAGGCCCATAGCCTGAATATTTTTTTTGGGGGGGGGACATTTAATTTTTAAGGGGGCAGTTAAAGGTAGTTAAATTAATCTGAAGGCCTGTCTTTAAAGGGGGAGGCTCAGAGGGCATTTAATTCCACAGTGGGAAGGAGAGGGAAGCCTGAGAGCAAGCTGAGGTACTTCGGCAGCAGTGGGGTCTCTCCTCAAAAATAAGGTTTCTGGCATGGCTAATTGTGGGGCAGGGCTTTTAATTAGTGGGGCAGGCCCCCAAAATGCCCCACTATAGCTACAGGCCTGAGCACAATGTATATTCCCCTCCTCCTCCACCTGCATAGTGTATGGTGACTGAAGAAGGATGTCTTCAATCGAACTCCACTACTCTGAACGTGGGCACGTGGACAAACAGGAGTTTGTTCCTTCCCCACAAACTGGGATTTTAACCCATGGAATCAATCATTATGTACAAATACAGCACAGAACAATACAAATAGTATCTAGGTAAGAAGCAATATTAGATCCATACACCATTTCAGTGCTAGTTATACTGTGGGCTACAATTAATCTTGCTTACCATGAAGTCAACAATGTGTCACCATGTAATCCAAGCCACATTCACACAGACAAACCTGAAGTGAAAATCTTTACAGTTCTACTGCCAATTTCTTATGTCATTCAGCCTTCCTAATATTACAGTATTTTTCCATGGAAAACCACATATTCTAAATGCACAGCAAATTAGAAAAACTACCTTCGCCTCATGCAAATCCACTTCACAATTTAGCCTAATTATTTTTGTTATTTTAGCCATTTTGTGAGCTTCAGAGAAAAGAATCCAGTGTTGGTTTACGCTGATTTTCTTTCCTGTTTAAAAATGTCAACCAGTGGGGATAATTAACCCACAGATTATTATGTTGGGAATACATGTTCAATGGCTTATTCAACTAGTCCATTGTGATCATGCTTTCATCCTGCTGAAAAAAATTATATAGAATATTCAATATTGACTTATTAATTTTCTTTCCTCTACTCAGAACGAACAAAAAAGTACTAAAAGGCTGTTTGGCTGTTAAAATGACGTCATTTAAGTGGTCTTCCTGTAATACAGAGGTATAACAAAAAGGCTATATCCACTACTGTGAAAGGCAAAGACAAGCAGGGATGCGGGGAAGAGAAGAGACACACACAGTTCAAAGAGCATCTTTTACTAAGATCACTCCTCCAGCTGCTTTTGAACTTTGAAGATGCCGTGGTTGGGCAGTCCCTCTGTGTACACACTAGCCTTTGTGGACATATCAAGGGTAGCCACAGAGTCCAGACTTCATACCAGGGAATTCTTTAGAGAAGGTGCATCATATTTGATTGTTCTAAGCAATGTAACTGTCAGTGCTAACTTTCTACTTGTATATGGAGTTCTGTAAAAGATGGCTTACAGTTCAGTCACATCTTTAGGGACACCTTTAGGCAGGAACCGTAGCCCTTTGTTACTGCAACGAACCACAGAATCCACACAGGTACACTGGTCTGGACAACGGGGGAACAAATGACAGCTGCTTTCAACATTACCTGTGGAGGAGGAGAGAGGAAAAAGTATTCATCAGTTTAAATAGTGGTGAAGTGAGCCTGAGAAAGTTCAGCATTGTGGAAGTTATGATACTAAGTGGCAACTGAGGAAAATAAGTTTATGTGGAAGTTATTAGCCTGGGTGGCAAGTTGGGAAGTTAAGCTTTGTGGAAGTTACTGGCCCAAGTGGCAAGTGAGAAAATAAGCCTGTGTGGCTAGGTCTATTTAGAGAATCATTTTACTTAGGTAACTATATGAAACCATTACACTTATTAACCATAGAACCTGGTGTGTAATTCCATTTCATTGTCTGACAAAGTGTGCATGCAGACAAAAGCTCACACCTTGAATAAAACCTTTTTGTTCTTAAAGGTGCCATTGGACTCTAACTTTGAACCACAGAACCTGTTATGCTGTTTTACTTATAAATAAACTCTATTCATGTTTAAGAAAAACAACAGTTTATTTTAGAGCAAAGGATTCCCTTTTACCTCAGAGCCACCCCCATGTGCTGACCACTGTCATTCTACCACATACAACTAAGCCATCCTGTTCTTTGGATCCAACTAAGAATCCTAAGGTGAAAGCCTTTGGTAGCAGTGAAAATAAGGAAGGCATATCAGAACACTACAGAGAAATGCCTGTATAGAGGTTACACATAAAAGGGTCACACAGAAAAGAATGAAATGGTGCAGTCACCATTACTGATTTACAATTCGTTAAGTCCCTTCTCAACATATACATTGTTTTATAACAAACCAGGAAAAATCCACGTTTGCTCTGTCTCTTCCACTATCCCCATGCCAATAACAGCAGTGTAGCCAACCACAAGCACCAAATAAACACTTTGTGTGGTGCGTTTGTAGTGACTGCACTGTAGGAACAGATCTGTATGTACTTTGTGACATGCAAAAAAGGAGACCAAATGAAACTAAAAGGCAGAAATGTATGTTTCTATTCAACAACAGTAAAAACTTTAAGTGCAGTTTAGCTTTGCCATATAAATTTGCCATGCTGGACAGGCTCTGGTTAGGGCTAAATTAGGAGGTTAGAGAGATGGCCTGTGACAATTCTAATACTTTATATCATTACATTACTGAGCCTGATTCACACATGCATGATGATTTATTTGTGCTGATCACTGTACCCTTGATGACAAGCAGCTGAATGTGTGACCATTAAAAAGGCATGAATGGCAGTATAAAACAACATCATTCACACATGCAAGTTATCACTTGATGTAGCAGTTATCTAGTGATGAATATCCATGAGTGAATCACCTCTGAGCCAGCTTCCCTTCCTTTTTATTATTTTGGTTGAGGAAAAAACCTTGCAAGTATCCTTTGTTCCCTGGCATGGTGAATATTTATTGGTTAAAGAGCAGATATTTTAATATTAATATGGCACACTCCTTAATTTTTTTAATTATAAGGATTGTCATGTTTAATAAGCATCATGAGAATAAGGGAACAAGATGAACTGTGCATCAACAAGAGCTATGCACACATGCATTAAAATATCTAATAATTAGAGCAACTTGAGAACAAAAGGATTGTTAGAAAATTAAGCTTTGGAAGTTAATGCCATTAATACATGGAGTTCTCCCGACACTAGAATGTAACTTTATAAGGCATTAGAAAAAAACAAATACATGTCTGGAAAAATTGAAATGGGGTATGCTATAAACTGGACCAATAGAAAAATAAATGTTTCACCATCTCAATAAGGGTCTACTGAACATTGTAATGAAAGGTGATTGTTTCTGTCATAGATTAGGAGTCTCAAAATCTAGTGAAGCCAGCACACTATTTGGTTTTTTTCCCTATATGCTCAATTTTACTGCCTAGATATGAAGAGCTGTGAAAAATAAGAGAATATTGGTAATAGTTTCATAGTCAGCTGTCTTTTCTGCTGCCCTACTAGATGTAAGAACAAGGACATTACAAACAAGGAATGTGCTGCCCCGGCAGAGATTAGAATAGTAAAACATAGCAAGTTATACTGTACCTTTAAGTATATAAAGGATTCTGGGAAATGTAGTTTAGTAATCTTATGGTCAGCTGGTTAGGAGTAGCCTTTCTGATTGGTTTTATACAGCCTCTCTTTCCTTTGATACATTTACCTGGGAGAAACTGTTTATTGCCTTCATAAACAGTTTCTCCCAGGTAAATGTATTAAAGGAAAGAGAGGCTGTATAAAACCAATCAGAAAGGCTACTCCTAACCAGCTGACCACTTCTTAGTTAGCAGACGGGAGAGATTCAGCTCCTTTTACCGCATGAATCACTCAAAAGACTCAGGACTTTAAAGCTCCTAACATCTAATGGAAATGTGAGTAAAACTGAACATTTGGATGCTTGAGAGTTAAATAAAGTTGATTCCAAATGAGTGAAGACTGTGTGTTAAATACTTAGCCTTCTTAAGAGCCAGCTCAGGCTGCTGGGAACAGCATAAGGAAGATGCATATTAGTTAATTTAAAGATTTTGTTAATTTGGACACAAAGGATGGTTTTAAAGCTACTATTACCAAATAAAACAACATTCTGGATGCTGGGGCTAGTGACACTTCCCTGATGACTCACAACTTTCAGACCAGTTTAGTTATAACAAGTTGCCTTGATTTTAGTGAAATTTTTATACCTATTCTATCAACTTTCTTACCATCACATGTAAAGTCCTGTGTAGCCACATCCTGAATTGGAATCTCTTTCAAGAAAAATGGTTTCTGGCAACGTGGATTTCCACTGACAATCCTTCTCTTCCTTAGCCATTTCCCCAACCATGCCAAGTGGCAGTTGCAGTTAAATGGATTAGACAGCAAATTACTAGAAGGGAAATTAAGCCAAATGCATTGTCAATTATTATAGAAACAGAGGGATAGAATTTTAAAAAATAAAACACATTTGGACAACTAACTTCTGGTTACTGTCTTTTCAAAGGAGGTCCAATAGTTGCATACCCCCCACACACACACTAGAGACCTGAATGGGTCAGCCTGTCTTTGAGCTATGTTCTTAATACTGGAACCAGAGAAACCACAGGTTTCAAGAATGTAGCCAGCCAACCTGTGAAATGATCCACCATAGTGCTAGTCACTAAATAATAAAATTTAGCATTTTAGACCATTCAAATGGTCTCACATAATTTTTTTTGTTGTTAACCTTATAACAACCCTGTAAGGCAGTTATTGTTAATCTCTAATCATACATGAGGAGCTGAGAGCGTGACTTGCACTGGTATTATTTATTTATTTACAAAATTTATACCCTACCTTTCTGCTCTCACAAGGGCCAGCAAAGTAGCTTACAAATTAAAACATACATAATAAAACATTTAAAAATCATTTAAAAACAATCCTCCCACAAAAAACACATTATCAAAATAATTAAGAGCAGAGCTAAAACAAATACCAAACATAAAAACAACTAAAATATTGATCATTGAGGGAATGACAAAACACACAAAAAGTCTTCACCTGCTGGTGAGAATCAGCAACACAAGGGGACAGACAAATCTCTTTGGGGAAAGAGTTCCAGAGTCTTGGTGTCATAACTGACAAGGCCCTCACCTGGGTTGCCCCCTGCCTAATCTCAGAAGGCAGGCGCACCCAAAGCAGGGCCTCCAAAAATGACCGTAGTAGTTGGGTGGGTTCATAAGAGAGTAGGAGGTACTTCATGTATGTTGGTCCCAAACCATATAGGGGCTGCGGTCACACGCAACATTAGCCACACAAGAGATACGGAAGACAGGCGGAGTTTCCAGGCGCGATCTCACCAGCACATCTGGGGAGCGTAGCGCTTCTGTGGCACAACCGAGGCTTCCTCCCGAAACCGCGCAGCAAAAAACTAGTACCTCGGAGGTACTCGTTTCCGGAAACTGCGGGGCAAGGGCGGGCGTCTGATCGCATTTCCGGTGGCATCCGGCGCCCGCCCATGTCCCCTTGTGAAAAAGGTTTTTTCCCCCCCAAGTCCCCGTGGTTGCGCACATGCACCCAACGGAGCATGCGCATTCGTAGTGAACACAAAAAAAGAAAACTAGTTCGCCGCGCCGCGCACTTCTTCGTTGCGCGCAGGCATGTGTTGTGATCGACGCCTCTCTGTAACCACAGAAGCTCCACGGTACTTCCACAGAACCTCCACAGGAGGTATGATCGCTTTACTGCGTGTTAGTTTGCCCCAGGGCAAACAGCCACACTTCCCCCCCGCAGTTTCCTGCCCGTGTGACCGGGGCCAGGCTATGTTTTCATGATACAGATGAGATCTGAACTTCCTAATTCAGCCTCTTTGTAATTCTGCATTAATATCATAAGTAACGCAACACCCACCTAATATAAGAACCAACAAATAATGTCACGTACAGTCTCTGCCCAGCTGTTATAAACTAACAGGAATCCAAGCTAACAAATCATGGTAAGAACTATACAGACTGATGGCATATAAAAGTCATCCAAATAATTTTTGGCTTGCACACTTCCCCCCTCCCTGCTTTTTTAAAAAAAGAAGTACATTTGGCTGTGCACATCATATATCAAAAGCTTAACGGAAATGTGCCATCAAGTAAGGTTAAGAGCAGCAAGTAACAGACATTTAAAAAAGCCTCACAGGTGTAACTCCACTACCATAGTTCAAGCCCTGCAGTATGCAATACATTAATGCATAAAACTTCAGTGACATTTTTATTGCCACTAGTGGGAAGGAGGGATCAGCATACAGCCATGCTAAGATCCTGAGAATCTAATGGTTATGGGAAGACAAGATCGAATATATCAGAAAGGCTCAAAAGCTACAATCCAAAGAATAAGAGCCAAATGGGTACCCAGATTTTAAATCTCTGAGTTTTTAAGCTGATCTCATCCTTTCAAGGAGACGAGTAACAATTATGAACATTCTGAATTTGCAAAGCCTTGGAACTTTTATATTACAAACTAGTAGTATAGACAGCATTTTGTTTCTGCAAAAAGTGTTCTAATATCATCCTTGTGGTGCAGTGTTTAGTGTGTCAAACTAATTTGAAACCCAAGTTCAACTTCCCCTTTTGCCATGAAGCTAATTGGGTGACCTTGGACAGGTCACTCGCAGCTTCACCTACCTCACAGGGCTGGTGTTTAACTCAAAATGGGGAAGGTAAAATATACAGCACCTTGAGCTATTGGTAGGATAAAAATGCACTTTGATAACAGTTAAAAAGAGCCCAAGGCAATTCATAAAAACAGTCTGGTAATTCTGGCATGCATAAAGCAGCTTTTATACTGTCATCCACTGCTAACTGAAGCTGAAATATTTTATTCAGCTGAGTTCTATTCACACCAGTCAGTAATAAATCAATTGAAGTACTGGAGCTTTAACATGATTTTGGAATTCAGTTGAGTATAAATTCAACTTTAATGTCAGCAGCCAGGTTAGCAATGTAAATATCAATGAACTTGGATAAATCGCTGCTTTCCCCCCCACAAGCATTTGGTATCATACTGGATCATACCTCTGCAAAATTGTTATCATGCCTTACTTTGCTTCAATAAACAGGCCTGACACTGTGTATCAGCACACTGGAGATCAGATATACCTAAATGTCAAGCTGAAGCTGCTTCTACACCAAAATCAGGATGTACCTGTTGCCAGGACCATGGGGGCAATGATATTGAATGCATTGGCTAGTGAAAGAGCTTCACTGAGCAAGATTATTTCTGATGAGAAGCAAGTTAAGATCTTGAAAGGGACCATAAATTGGAGCATTATTAAGACAGGCCTTGACTCTGTCTATTAGAGAAAGGATTTCAAGCTCACAAACATAGGGGAAATGTTTGATAAGGGAGACGTTATTGATTGGGTAATCATAATTTTTCCACTTAATAAGAGACATAGCGCTATTCACATGGATGTAGGGCAGTAAGGCTTTCTGAAACGTGGTTGATTAATATTCTGTTTTATCATGTTTCCAATAAGAGGGGAAAACAAGTTAATTATTGAAATCAAGAATGGATGTCTACTCTAAACTAAAGCAGCACTTAGTGGAATCTTGGAGAAAGCTCCATGAACTTGGACAGAAACAAGTTAATTCTGTTTCAAATACCAAGTAAAGTCCAAGTTGACATTTGAAATGAATATTCCAACACTTTTATACAAGTGGCATAACAAGTATACATTAACACAATTGTATAGGGCTTTGTATGAGTCAGACAATAGGGATACTTAAAAGTTTAGAGTGGAGAAATTTAATCTGACAACCATAAAAAAGGGACTTAAACTCATGTGTGAAGTAAACATTCTGTTTTCTTGCTACTGCAAATTCTATTGATAGGGACACAGGCATTCAGATGTTGTTAATGATGATGGCACACTGAAAGCTACAATGAGCAGAGTAATTCTTAAACTACTGTAAGAGTCCCCCCCCCCATCCACATTCTATTGAAAATGGTTTGGATACGATCTCTAAGCCACAATTCTGTGGCTACATCATTGCAGCACCCGAGATTAGGTGCAAAGCTCTTGACACCATCATCAAAGCACCTGCTACACTGCAAGTTCATGGTGCACCTATATAAAGTGAAAGGAACAGAACACCAGAACATCAGCATAGGTGATGGCTGCTGTTCTATCGGTGGGATGATGAGACCAGAATCACACCCCAGTGCTGACAAGAGGATATCATTCAATTGACCTTACACAAGAACTGGGATCTTCCAATCTAGTTGTGAGAGCTTACTACAAGCATAGAAGTCCATTAAGATCTACAACACTGTAGTGGTTAACTTAAGAGCTTAAGCTGGAAATCAGTCTCTCATTCAACTATTACATCAGCATGTAGTGCTCAGAAGACCTTAGGCAGGTGGTCTTGGCCTCAGCCTTTATCTGTAATATGAGGATAACTCTTTGTACCTGGTGGCATTGTATAGCTCACTTGAAGTGGCATTGTACAGCTTACTTACTGATTCTATGAAGTACCTTCAAAAAATTACATGATAATAAAACTGTTTTGTTTATTTTTTTAAAAACCCATCACCAATATCATGGAATTACGTTTAAGTAGTTATTAGAAGCCAAATTCAACACTTAATGTGATGGAAAAAAGGTACTTACATGGTAGATAAAGAAACAAGTGTATTGAAGGCTCCAGGTGTGATAGTAGTAATGCGATTGTCATACAGAGAAAGTAACCTTACTGAGCTCAGTCCTGTGAATGTATCATTGTTGACACAACTGATCATATTGCTCCTGAGCATCCTGAAAGAATTCAAAACTAAAATGAGAGTTTATTAACTGAAAAAGGAAATGGGGAAGGAGAGAGGGGAATGTATGGGAGAAGCAATCAACAGGCTACCTCAGTGCTTCACAAATCTTTAGTAACAGTAGAACTACTATATTGATTTTAAACGTTTCATGGACATCAAAGCCCTACTCCAGTCCTCAATGGCACACATCCTTTTCAAGGGGCATGCAGCAGGCCAAGTATGTTCAATGGCAGCTTCCATCCTCTAGTGTTCTGCGTATGAATCAGTGAGACTCTTGGCTGCGGTCACACACGCCAGTTGGAGTGGAGTTGAAGCAAGGCTATCTCTTCCGGAGGAATTTGACACGCAGTTGCGAAATCACATAGCCCTTTCAAGCTGCAGGCTCAGCCCGTCACTGTGTGATCAGATACACCCACGGGTGAGTTGTTTTTTTCTTAGCCATTTGTTTCCCATGTGCTTAAATGAGGAATCACACCTCCGCACTGAGGGCTCCCTATGGAGTATGTGATGATATGCATACTGTGTGTGGGGGAAACGGCCCTGAGCTGGGATGGCATGATCAGACCATCCCAACGGCATGAGAGTGTGCTTGTGCAATCAGACAGGGGAAAGTCCGTCTGTAGCCCATCAGAACCCATTAGAGCCAGACTTTCCCCAGTGTCTTTTAACTCTGCTTCTGTGGCAGAGCAGCACGGGTTGCCAATGATTTTGGGACACTTCCCAGATGTTGCTGTCTGCGCCCTTTAGATCCGTCAGGCATTTGCAGCTATGTCAGATCTAAAGGTGCATGTGATCGCAGCCTCTTATCAGCTACACTTTTCAAGCTAGTTTAAGAAAAATGTTTTTACTGTCTTTACAAGGCCAGCTCTCATAAGGTAGACTGTAGTATATAGGGCCTGACCTAAGATCTAATCAACCTCACCCCTTGATCTGAAGGGACATTGCACTAGATACAATAAGGAAACATCCTTATTTGTTAATAACCTAGCTAGAGGTCCACTCAACAGGGGCTGGAGGAAGACCAGTTTTTAGGAGGGTTTTTATGCTTGCAAGGTTCAACCTTTTCCCCTCAGTAGTGGTTTCCGGTAGATACAGGGGTGTGCCATACAAGGATAGACTCTGTAACTGTAATCTTGGGGAACCTGATTCTATCACCCATATTCTCTTTCGCTGTCCTAAATATCTCGCTATGCGCAATGTTTTGATCCGCCCACTTCTCCCTGTGCAGAGAGATTTTCTGGATAGGGATTTAAATTTCTTTCTAGCAGACAAGAGTCCAGCAATAACACTATCTGTCGCTGAATTTTTGACTTATGTATGGAAGTCAAGAGTAGTACTTTGTAAATCTCGTAAACCGTGTTAGGATTGCTTTGTATTTTAAGATAATGGGAATATTGGTTGTCGTTGTTTTAACACTATCCCTTAAATTTTGCCTTTGTTCTGGTTATCTGTGTAATGCCAATAAAGGTGTCTGTTCTCTGTTCTCTCTCTCAATAACCTAGCTAGAGGTCCACTCAACAGGGGCTGGAGGAAGACTGGAAGAGCTCTCACAGCACCTCATAGAAATAAAAAAGACCAGTGTTACATAAAACTTGAACTTTGGTATTTAGCTTAAAAACCACCATTGGCTTTTACCAACTTTCTATCTCTATGGTGAAATTCTTTTCATTGTGACACAGAGTGAAAACCAGGTCAGTTTTACACCAGAAATGACTATGATTGATGACTGCATTTGGACCATATTTCCTTGGTGCCCCTTAGATCATTTAGAGACTGAGCTACTGGATCCCACAAACCATTCAGTTCATTCTCTGACCAGTGCTCTGGGGTGATACAGCTGCAAGAAGAAGCAACTCTGAGCTTCCATTCTTCAAAAGAGAGGGAAAACCATTGTGTCCCTCTCCCATGAGGTGGTAAGTCCCTACCCCCACTGACAGAAAAAAGAGGACCAAACTAGATGATATAGCATCCATGGGTACTGGAAGGTATCTTCTTAGAAAAATATATGTTTTAAAATAACACAAAATAGAATGACCATGACTGTGTATGAAATTGTCTTAATCCGTGCTGTCACAGGAGATATCCAATGAAGGGTCTTGCACTTGTGCAACTGTATTCTATACAACACATATAAGATCAACGGATGTCCTAGCTAAGGGAAGAATCTAATTTTTCCAGCATTAAGAATTTCTACGCACTTTGAATGCTAGAAAAATGTGACTGCAGTGCAACAGAAAGGAGTTTGTGGGAGAACATTCGCATCTAGAATAACAAATGAGTTCTTATCCAATATATTTATTGTACAAGTGATCACACTGCCAGATTTAATTTGTAACAGGTCTTAACAACAGGTTGGCCAATTTTTTGCTGAAGAATTGTATACTTGATCCAGAGCTCAAGAAACATCTCAAGTTTGTAGAAGAACTCTTTAAATATGCAGCACTAACAAGTATTCAATATTGTTAGAGAAATTGATCGTACCTGTTCCAATTAAATTTTTTATTAATTTCAACATCTTACAAATTATTTACAAGTTATTCTACAAGAGGAAGTGAATTTAACATTCTTTGGTAATAGTCTTCTACAAGTTGCCAATTCTATTCTGCTTCTACTTCATTTGTGAATTGTAATCTTTAATTAATCCAATAGAAATTGGCACGCCTAAATTAATATTTCTGCCTCTCAAAATTACTCCGGTACAAATGCACTTACAATCTCCCATAATTTCCCTTTGGATCTTCTTATGTTTATAACTATATATTCTATATATGTTTCGTTTCTAAATCATTATGATAAGGTAAATTACAATAAAGTAAGATAGAAAGTAAGATGCAAAAAAGAAATATATTCCTCCATTTCTTTACTCTGCTCTCTAGGATCTTTTAGTGAATTATGTTCTTCCTCTTTAACTGGAGCTCTTCTAATCGTCATTCCCTGACCCAGGACTCTGGAAAAATTCCGGAGAAGACTCTCGCTGAGAATCTTGCCCATTGGGGAGGTATGTGGGGGGTATCCCAATGGCCCTACTGCTCCTCTACACTTTATGTTCCAGGCTACTTTACTTAGGGGAAAATATATAAGGCAAAAGAGGAAAGGGGAAAAAAGTAACTCTATAGCTGCCATCTCCTCCGGTGTAGATCTTTGCAGTCTTCTGGTGTGTTCCTCTTCTTTTGGTTACCAGTTCTTGGACTCCTAACCTAAGTCTGCTTCCGACGCCTTCAGAAGCTTTTCACCAGATGTTAGGTCATGGGCTGTGAATATTCTTCCTTGGTGTGTGACCGATATATGTCCAAGCAGAAGCCAACAATACCTGAAGCTTTTGTGCGATTGGGTGCATATTTTTCGAGGCATTTAGCATTTCAAAAGGAATATCTGGGTACAGCTGGACCAAAGTGTCCTCAAGCTTCAGACCTCTGTTCTTCCTGGCAATTTCAAACAGGTTCTGCTTAGTCTTTCTGTCTTTAAGATCTGCCACGATATCAGGTATCAGTGCTGGTGAGCCCGTTCGGGGAGGGTTTACACAGAAAGCATTGTTTACCACTGGCCCCGGAAGCTGTATAATTCCTTCTAACCACTTGTTTAAAGCAACAGTAAGCCCTGTGAGGCCTCTAAATATTCGTCCATTTAATTCAAAGTTCAAAGAAATTCCACGGAATTTTACTTTAGTTTCCCGTGATTTAATTAGCTTGCTTTTCACCCATCCTTCAAAAGTTTTCAGTTCAGCTATTTCCTTAGAGTTCTTTTGCATGCCAGCAGCTGCTGTCTCCGCCTTCTCCTGTGTCTCCTGCAGCTTTTTATTGGCTTCATCCAGCTTATTCATAATAGGAGTCATGCTGTTTCTTATCTCTTCTTTTAAGTCTTATTTTAAATCTGTCAGCATCTCCTGTAAATGCTTTTTGGTTAAAGAGGCTTCTCTTTTCCTTTTGCTTACACGAATTTCTGCTTCCTCCATTTCCAATGGGGGAGGAGAGTTTTGGCTTTCTTGCATTGCTCTAGGCATCAGTTTGGAGGAGTTCTTGCCACCTTTCTCTCCCCTGTTCCTCCCCATTGTTTTGGTAAAGCTGTAATATTTAAATTGCAGCCCGTTATTTTTAAATTTTAATTCTTTTGTAGGAGCCCGATGCGGAGGCTGTGTTGGGTGCGACTGCACAGCTCTGCTGTCGCTCTGACCCCCCGAAATTGATTTTACCTAAGCAAAGATCACAGAGAAACTGCTAACAAATTAGAGCATGGACTTTGCATAGGCTATGTTCAACACTCCTGCTTTGCTCCAAAACAGCTTGCTGTCAAAACAGCAGCACTCCTTTAATACATCTGGAATAAAACAACCAACAGATACACAAGCCACAACACTCCCCCTCTTCCCAGTATCTTGAAAGGCAAGTAGTCTTCATACTTACAGAGTCTTGAGCCCTGTGAGGCCTCTAAATATTCGTCCATTCACAGATTCCAGCTGATTCCCCGTCAACATCAGTTCCTGCACCCCTGTGGCGCCATCAAAAGTGCCTTCTCGAATCTCTTTGATCTTGTTGTTACTCAGGTTTCTGAAAAAGAAAACAAAACAAATTTGATGCTGGACAGGCAATATTATTCAAGAAGGCTACATACTTTCCCAAACATAAACACCAACATGTTTACATTGGGCAGTGAAAAGGCAAACAACAGTCTCTGGGCAGATTAAAAGAACTGACCTGAGGGATTTCTTGCTGTCAAAGTTGCCCATTATCAGCTGTCCTTATATGTTACAACATTCCACACATTTCTTACGGAATGACATTAAATCACAGGACCAACATTCTGAATCGTGATATTTCTACCAGAATATTTGCCCTAAAATTCCAAGCTGTCACTAGCATAATTGCTGTAGTTGGCAACATAGTTGTGGCACAACACCAAGTTTGCCACCATTTTTGCCCCCATTTTAAGTACTGATTTTTGGATTAGGTAGTAAATTTTGATTATGAACTTCCACTTGTTATATTATATCCCAAACTCTTTAGCTTCAGTAAGCTAAACTAAAGTGTTTTTTATACAGCAGTCACATGTTGCTGCCCACTCAGTGTTGCTGCTCCAGTGCAGTGCACATGGAGGTCCAAGGTGGCGCAAACAGCCCTTCCCCAGGCTTTTTTGGCTTAGGAAAATGGTACCGAGCTGAACTGGCCCCCAGCGTTCTTGGGAATTTTGGTTCCCCAACTAACCACAGTTTCATGAATCTTTTAGCAAGAACATGAAAGTTTCATGATTATTCTTCTGTACCCAAGGGAGTCTTAAATGCACTTTTGAATGAGTAATCTGCTCTGGCATAGTCCATGGCAAACATAATTTAAAATCCAAAAGAGTACCAAGGCAGCGTTCACACGTGAGAGATAATGTGGGAGGAGAGGGGAATATGACCCGTATTTGTGCGATCACACAGTCCCTGGGAGCTGCAGGGACGGCTGCCACTGTGTGATCAGACGCAACCGCGGGTGAGTTGGGGGTGGGTTTTTTGGCCGTGAAATTCCGGTGCGCTTCAACAAGGGATCAATGCTTCGCATTTCCGCACCAAGTGCTCCCTATGCAGTGTGCAATGATGCGCATACTGAAACGGGGAAAAAAACAACGGCATGGAGTCAGGATGGCCTGATCAGATCATCCCGACGCCACGAGAGAGCGCTGGCGCAATCACACAAGGGAAAGTCCATTCCTGGGCCATAGCAAACACGTTTGCTACTGGACTTTCCCCGGTGCCTTTTTACTCTGCTTCTGCAGCGGAGCAAAACGATCTGCTAATGGGAGCGGGACTCTTGATAGGTGTTGGCGTCTGATTGCACCCTTAAAATCCACCCGGCATTCGTGCCTATGTTGTGGCTAATTCTGTGTGTGATCGCGACCCAAAACAGTATGTGGTATACTTCTTCATAAAAAATGTTAGATACTGGGTTCCATGAATGGTCCGAGCCCAAGCATAGTGATCAGCTCTCCTTTATTAGAGATTCAGCAAGAACGAAAAGCGAAAAGCCAGGGCAACTGCCATGTTTAAAATAGCATGCAATTCCACCCACTTCCCCAAATAACTACCAACAATAGGCAACTGTCAGAACCATTAATTCCTCATTGGCCACCTCCAGAGTCCTGGTGGGCTATTGTTCTAGAGCTTCAAGCTCAGCCAGTCTCTGGTAGAAACAGTCCTGGAATGTTCCAGTCCCAATACATAACAAAAAAGTAAATATTTCACTAGACACACAGAAGTTGCTTTGTGTTATGTGGCATACATCTTTTTGCAGCTCCTAACATATACTTCAACTCTGATCCATTTCCCTGTCATGCTTCCATAACCATATATGGTCAGATCTTTTCTTTAATGTAGCAGCTATGAAGGAAGCTGCACCCCTGCCTATGTCTGTGAAGGCACTAGTTTCTAGCTCCAGAAGCTCTAGCCTAAAAAATATTTGGCTTATTCTGTCACCAAACAATGTAAACAGGAAGAAGAAGAAGAGAAGAGAGAGATTGGATTTATACCCCGCCCTTCACTACTGAAAGGTGTCTCAGAGCGGCTTACAAACTCCTTCCCCTTCCCCTCCCCACAACAGACACCCCGTGAGGTGGGTGGGGCTGAGAGAGCTCATGACAGAAACTGCTCTTTTTCAAGAACAGCTCCTTACCAGAGCTACGGCTTGCCCAAGGCCATCCAGCCAGGTGCAAGTGGAGGAGTGGGGAATCAAACCCAGCTATCCTTTCCTGTCAAAAGATCAATACATCATTTCAAATTCATGTGAAAGAGATGTACTAATCCAAACTTGTTATATATTTCAGAAGTTTCACACAAACACACATATTGCATGGTAGGTGATACAATAATGTATGAAATGTGAACTGGCCCTAGACATCTGGGAAAGATTTTTTGCCCAAAGCTCATGAAATATTTTCAGCATCCACACACCTCAGCATGTTAGTATTAGATACATTTTCCCTCCTAAATGCTTGCAGGTCACATTCATTAGAGCCAGCCATCTAATGGCTTTTCAGTATTCATGATGAGCTATCATGTAAATTTGTACCAAGGGACTTCTTAGAAGCGGGCACAGCTGACCCTGAAATCAATCGTGTCAATGAATCCTTTGGGACCACTTAAACACATGACTTATTGACATAACAGACAAAGGCTCCTGGTGAAAGCTGCCTATATATACTATGATTGCATACCAATAATGTTTTCTAAGGCATCATATTGAATAGGCATTGATTTGCCACTTTTGCTACTGTGGGCAGAGAAAATGGGGGGAGTTGGTAAAGTTTCTAATTTTAGTGCTAAAATGGTTGAAGCAAACATTGAAGTCATACCTAGGGCTTTACATTGGCCATATCACTTGCCAAAAACTGGATACAGAACCATCTACCCTGAATTTTCTGTGTAAAGTAATTATTTTGCAAGATAATTAAGCCTATCTAAATGAAAATAAATTTGAACTTCTTCCTTAACAGTGGTGTCTCCAGTCTTTAGATATTGGATGCTATTCTGCTCTGTATTCTCTCACTGTTACTAGGGAGGGTGGGGGCATGATGGGAGGCTTTGGCACAAGTATCAAAAGCCAGAATCGAAAGCAGTAGCTCTAGGAACTGAAGTAAATTCTATGGTAAAGCCACAGAGTTTCCAGTGATTCCTGGAGCAACTAAAATTGCTTTTTTTGGATGTGTCATGTTTGTAAATTTTCAAATCCCCCCCCCCCGCTCTAAGCAGCAGAAGGCAACAGGAGCTTAGGGAGCTTGTTGGAATATGCAAGGTCTACAGTGCATGTACTTGAAGAGGATCAGAAGAACAGCCTATAGGGGACAACTGAAGGACTGCTAGTTAGCATAGTTAGATTAGGGATTTCCCACAATCTCAAATTATATCCTTCCTGTCTCCTGATTGACTCTTTGGAGACTTCCTGCTCCAACTGCACCCTCTCCCTTTGTTCCTGTCTCTCACAGCAGTTAGTCAAGCCTCTCTCCCTCTCCTCTGTTCTATCAGAGTTTATTTCTTCTTTAATAAACCAAGTTATTTTCTTTAAACAGTTGGTGCTCCATTAAACTCTGCCTACAGGGTTCTGGGCCCAGTGTGAGCACCGCTGTGAAAAAGGGAAAAGTTTATATAGATTGGTAGGCAAAAAGAAGAAACTGCAAAATGGCTGCTTCCTGCATAGTTCAGCACAACTACCTACTAGATAGGTTGACTGACAACAATTTTCTTATCTGGATGGAGAGAATGAAAAGCCACTTGCTTGAAATAGAACTTTGGTACTTCATCAATGAATCCTGGCCAGGAGATGACACCTTAGCAAAGCAGAAGTCTTGGGACACGCACAATAAGAAGGCAAGAGGTGCATTGATAAAAGGTTTGTCCAATAGAGATGTTGCAGGTCATTCAAATGCAAACTGCAAAGGCAGTCTGGAATGAATTGGAGATACTTTATGTTAACCCTTCTCTAAAGAGCCACCTCTATACCCAAAAGAAACTATTTAGCATAAGGATGCCTGAAGGGGGTGTGAGAGTACTTAGATCAAATGCTTGCTCTGAGTCAAGGGCTAAGAAGGGCTAGCAAATATACTACAGAACAGGATTTGGTTGTTTTGATTTTAGTTAGTCTACCCAAGACTTATGAAAATGTTGTATGCCAAACAGAGTCAAAAGTAAATCTTTCTCTTTCAAATGTGATGAATGGACTGGAGCAATCACTCAAACACAAGCAGTTTGAGGAGCCCAACAGAAAGACTGAGCACAATGCTGACCAAGTAGCTCTATATGTAAATAATGAAAGCAAAGTAACTTGTTATTCATATGGAAAACAGGGGCATGTTAAAAAGGGACTGCAATACTTTTAAAAAGAAGGGTGCCCCTCCAAGTCAAATAAAGGGGAGAATTTGAAACAACCACCCCTGAAGAAGTGTTTCATATTAGCTAAAGATGCAACCAAAGGTCATATATAGTTCTTAGATAGAGCATGCTCAATGCACATCAGTGCACGCAGAGACTTTTTTAAAACTCTAAATGAAGGGAAAAAAAAGACACTAAGTATAGCTGATGGGAGATCTGTTGTGGCAGAAGGGGTAGGATCAGGAACTATAAAATGCAGACTCCCAGATGGACAGGTCAGAGAAATCCTTATTGAGAACTATTTGTATGTGCCACAACTATCAAATAATTTGCTTTCAGTAAGAATTCTTGCAAAAAGAGGAATGGTGACCTCATTTGGGGAAAGATGTCTTATCAAATACGATGGTGAACTGATTGCAACAGGGAGAGTGCATGAAGATTTATATGCTCCGGACACATGCACACAAAGTGCAAATTTGACCAGAAGTTGCAATCTTAAGAGATGTTCCATGTTATGGCACCGAAGATTTGGGCATTCAGATAATTATGCAATTGCCCAACTTGAGAACCAGAATTTAACTAAAGGCATACAAATAAATACATGTACAATTGAAAGGAATTGCATGCACTGCATCCAAGCAAAGGGGACAAGACCAAGTTTCAGCAACAATCATGTACCAAACCAAACAAGGAGCCCCCTAGAGCTCA